ATGATAAACACCTGTGTCTCGTTTCAGTAATTGGTGTGGAGAGACCGGATAAAAGCCACCAGTATCGGGAAACGAGAGAGAGAGACTGACTGGGAACTCGAGCCACACAGGGAGACTGGTTGCGGGAGCCGGAATTGTATGCAGATTTATATTCTGAGTTATTTAATAAGTGATTGAAAGCGCAGTGGGCGCCACTTCTTTTGTTTGTGCCAGAGAGCCTCAAATAAAGCACGAGTCCCAGTCACGCCGACCCTGTCTTCTTCCTTCCACCCTTTGAACCACATTACAATAGGATTTTGGGAAGTCTTATGTTTTGCACTGTAAGACTTTAAGAACCTCAGTCACTTTGATCTTCTGGGTTACGGACAATACACACACAGTGTATTAACATACAGGCATCTGTTTTGTCATCTCATTGAGAGAAGATGCGAGAAAAGTCCCTTCTCACCTATCCTTTTCATCCACTTCCATCCCTCACCGATATCCCTTCACTCAGCTCACTCAGAATGGTCAACAGCATAATATAATGTTCTACATGAATGCAAGCGATATTCACAGTCATGTTTGGTATCATTTGAATTGTCTCAAGTCGACTGGTACAATGGTCTCAATCTTACAAGAAGTAGACTAAAAGGTAATACAAAAGTTTTAATCGTTGGTGATTTTAATATCCATGTTGATAATGAAAAAGATGCATTGGGATCAGCATTCATAGACATTCTCAATGCTATTCTATTGGGGTTAGACAACACGTGTCAGGACCTACTCATTGTCGAAATCATACTCTAGATTTAATACTGTCACATGGAATTGATGTTGATGGTGTTGAAATTATGCAGCAAAGCGATGATATCTCAGATCATTATCTAGTCTTGTGCAAACTTCATATATCTAAAACTGTAAATTCTACTCCTTGTTACAAGTATGGTAGAACCATCACTTCTGCCACAAAAGACTGCTTTGTAAGTACTCTTCCTGATTTATCTCAATTCCTTAGCATATCTAAAACCTCAGAATAACTTGATGATGTAACAGAAACTATGGACTCTCTCTTTTCTAGCATTTTAGATACGATTGCTCCTTTACACTTAAGGAAGATTAAGGAAAACAGTCTGACACTGTGTTATAATGAGTACACTCGCACCCTAAAGAGAGCAGCCCGGAAAATGGTGCACTGCTGGAGGAAAACAAAACTTGAGGTATTTCGTATTGCTTGGCGGGAAAGTACCCTATCCTACAGAAAATCATTAAAAACTGCTAGATCTGATTATTTTTCGTCTCTTTTAGAAGAAAACAAACATAATCCCAGGCATTTATTCAATACAGTGGCTAAATTAACGAACAATAAAGCATTAACAGCTGTTGACATTTCCCAACAGTACAGCAGTAATGACTTTATGAACTACGGTATTGGCCCGAATATAAGATGACCCTGATTATAAGACGACCCCTCTTTTTCCAGATGTACCTTTTGGAAAAAGGCTTTTTAAAAAACAAATCCTTGTTTTTTTCTCAGTATAACACATTTTGTCTTCAATTATATTTATATTGCATATTTTTCCTATTTATTTTAATTTTTGTTTTGAAAGTATGGTAAAAACTGGTAAAAATGTACCAACAATCACATTTAAAAAATATACACTTTTTGATATACCATAAAAAAAAAA